CTGAAACACATGATTATTAATCCGACCTCATGTCTGCTGGATGTGGTTTTAGGAAATGGTTTCCAATTTCAATTTATAGGTCATAGAATATCAGAGTTGCGTTGTATCATGCAGCCTCTGTGTATAAGAGTTAAGCATACAAAGTATTAGCCATCCAGTTTGAAAAAGTATGGAACTAAAAGCGTTCAACTGGTCAAAAACAATAACTGTTCAGCAGATTATGTAAACCAAAAGCAACTGCACCGTTAATGTTGGTAATAATACGGTGTCTGCTAATACGCACAAAAATGCGAAGGGCCGTCAGTCAAAGGGACCATTTGACATGATAACTTCTTATTTGGTAAGAAAAGAAATGATGGTCAAAACAAGTTAAAACCCAAGTTCTAATCAAGCGGAGCTGAACAGATATGTCCTGTCCATAATGTCATAAAGTGTGTTACTTCATGGCAAAAGAATTTGAATTGGCCCCTAGATATATGGTGTTTATCTATTTGAATCATAGCTTCTATTGCATGAATACACTAAACATATTGTTTTGAATAAAAGAGCGACATAGCAGCAAACAGATGCAGGTAACAGGTACCTGTTTTAGTATCGCAGTCCAAAATGTTCTTTTGTGACTGATGATATTAAAATCTGCCATAAAAGGATTTGCTGCCACTCCGTAGCGTCACGTTCCTCTCTCTCGCTCTTCCGTGCCCTACCTTCGGCTGTCCTCTTTTTGCAACATCACGTTCAGGTTGTATTGCTAAATTTATTTGCGTTTGCGGTGCAACAAATCCCCAGAACAACACTACACTGTGTGCTCCGAGCAGGAAGGAAAGCAAACTTCATCCCCAAAAACCTAGAGAGCGAGTACGAGAGAAGCGGAAACGCAATAGACGAGGGACCGGTTCCATTTGTCAGACTTCTACAACCACTCGGCTATACCAGGATTCAAGTACTTTTAAATTGGGTCCATGATAAAAATTGGAGGCAACACAACCGAGAGACAAGCAGCAGTGCCAACAAGGAGCACTCGGAGCTCAAAGCAGTTAATATGCCACGGGCCGTGTGCCAGGCAGGACAACTCAGAGTCCACGCACTACTGCTGAAAAACAGCAAGTGGAAGTGTCACTGCTGGCAATGCCAAGGCTGGAGAAGAGCGTCTACTTAACGTATGTATTGTAAAGTCACATTGTGAATGGGTGTGATGCTTTAGAGGATGCTAAAAGCTGCCATGTTTCAAGGAGTAATTATGTTTGGTGGTGGGATTGTAGGAAAAGCCTCACCGAGCCGTGGTCTTCCTCTGCAGGATACAGATAAGAGGGCTCTTCACATTTCTTCTCCACTTTTTATAGGCTGTCAGCGCCGCATGCCCTATACGCCATGAAAGAAATATAGAGCGAGCTCCCACCTTGGGTTTGCCTAAATTAAGAGTGAAATAATGTCTTCTTATGATGGCCTCCTGAAAAAGGCAACGCTGGGTATAAATGTTCATGAAGAAGTATGGTTTCTCCACAGTAACAGCGGAGATCATGAAGTGATGGTATCATGAAGTGCAATTATTCCTGACAGCCTGCCAGGCTTTACAGCCACCTCGGAGAAAGCGGCGCCGGCTAAGCAAGAAAACAACAGCTTGCAAAACTAAGGTGAGCTACAACACCATCTCAAAATCAATACGTCTCCTTGCTGTATTTCTGTGAGAGGGGGAAAAAAACGGATAAGTTAACATTTCTCAACGAAGAAAATAATTTTTCCCCTCAGTAAATGTCATTCACCGCCCGGCCTCCCCAAAGCGCCTCGACCCTGTGAACACATTTTTTGTTTTTTTAAATATGAGGGTAGACTAGCATCCAAGAAAAAAACGTTTATTTTCATGGTGCATACACATCATCTAGATGTGTGTAATGTGATTCCTTCCCTTATGGTTGCAGTGAAACAAAACAAATGCATGAAACTAACACCATTTCATTGACATAATGATAAAAAGGATCAACTCCGTTGATGTTATTTCATGATTCGAAGTCCATATTTCATTTCGTTCAGCAGAAATGGTGATCCTCACCACCAGGTAAAACCTCTCTTACGCTGGAATAAACTCAACTCCTTGGGTGAAAAAGCAATCTCCAGGCTTTTCTATTAAGCCTTTAATGTTTTAAATCAATTTATTCTTTGTTAACAATGGTTTTCAAATTGAGCTGTAGGCTGCGGGAAATGTGAGGTTAATTGCGTAACACTTCATCCCTGCAGTGCAGATGTACCGATGTAAGTTTTATCTGTATCATCCTTCAAATCACATCCAGATACTTGGATGAAAGTGATTTTCACGTTGATGGTTTGAGTCGCAAAAAAAACGTGCATTGGGGCGATTTCGCGGATTGAACGATGGCACCCTTAACAGAGCACAGACAAATCATATAATCCAGCAGGGCTCCGCATGAAGGCCTCTTACACATGGAGCAAAAGGCGTCTCTACGTTGTTTTTTAAATACATCAAATTTTCATGCAAGGAGTTACTAGCTGGAAGAGAGGAGACGGGAGGAGTGAGCAAAACGAATAGGCAGAAAGAGGAAACCGTGACGGACGGAGCAGGAGATGCATCAAGTGTGAGATTGCCAGAGAGAGAGAGAGAGAGGGGGAGAGTGAATGTTCATCCCGTCGGTTGCGGCCATTCGACGGGATGAATGTCCTTGAACCCGGGTCTGTGCCAACAGGTATCTCTTGCTAACAGACCGCCCCATCGCTGGTAATTACACGGGGAGGTCTAGAGGAGGTGGCACAGGGCTGAGCAGAATTTACATACATCTGCATGTGTCACTGGGCCTGGCTTTGGCCTCTGGCACTGAGTATCATGCTCCCTCTCAGCAGACGGTTTGTTCAAATGTAACAAAATGGTCGGTAGGTAAAAACCGTACCAACGCTCCCACTGAAACCCATTCATACCAGTGAGTGCGACACCTTGTTACGCTCACAGCAATGGGTCTCTTTTATGTCATTTTTTTGAAATCCTAGCTGATAATGCCTCCAAACAGACGTAGAGACACTGTGTTTGCTTTGATTGCCGCTTTCATTTGATCCATCCATCCGGGTGGTGTTGATGAGTCACCCACATAATCAGAGGGATCAATTGAGTTGAATGCTAAAATCATTTGCCTTTATTTGCTTTCGTATGGGTGTTTTGTATTCATTGTTTCATTGTTTTTCTGATGTGCTGCTCAGCTCCTTCTCTGGCGTTGCGTTTGTTAAAGTGCTTTGAATTTAAAGTGATCAAAAACCATACGGCCTTTCGGGTGTGCATTTCTTTGCATCTATGCAAAAAACAAAACAGAGTGAAAATCCGCTCTATACCTGAACTTGATGTTTCTGCTGTGTGTGTGTGTGTGTGTGTGTGTGTGTGTGTGTGTGTGTGTGTGTGTGTGTGTGTGTGTGTGCGCATCTGTGTGACCACTGGCTTCTTGTGAGCACTGGGACCCCCCTATGGTGAAAGGTGTTTCTGCTGACAGGAGCATATTCAAGGAAATAGAACCACTCTGTCGGCCCCAAAGCAGAGCACTTAAGCAGAACTGAGTTCTGTCTCCTACTACACGCTCCGCTGAACCTCCAGATGACAAAACGCCTCAATGCCTGACCAGATAAAACACAATAAATCCCAAAAATAAGGTTGAAGAAGAAAATGCTCTGATATGTTGTGTTTTGCCAGCTAGGTAGGAAATGATATATTTTCAGTTGGAAAAGCTAATTGACGGTCCAGGGCCAGCTAGAAAATAGGGCAGTCTAGGAATACTTCTGCAAGCTTTGCACGACCGTGTGGAACTATAAGAAGTAAATGTGTTTCTGCAGAGTGAGTAGATCAGTGGTTCTCAAACTTATTCTGACACGACCCACTTTGGGGGGGAAAAAAGATGTTCATGCTCCACTGCCCCAACAAAATTGTACATGTTGAATTTTTTTGTGTATTTTGTGACACCTTCTATATACTCTATCCATGCTTTTTCAAATAATGGGGCAAAAACACCATATTGTAAACAAATTGAATGTACAACCATCTAAATAATAATAGTAGTAACAGCAGCACTGTACTTCAGCAGCACTGTACTTCGTACTTTTGTAATATGGGAAATTCTTGAAATAAAATAATTCTGAATTTATCGATGCGACCCACTGGAGGGTCAAGCCCCACAGTTTGAGAAACACTGGTGTAGCTTCAGCACAACGATACTACTAACAGAGGAATGAAATCAAGTTCCACGATGAATGACACACTGCGTTAACAAACTCTAAATGATTACCGTCCGACTGATTTACATACTTTCATTCGGTTTCATCAGAATGTGCACCAAAGCACTACACAACCCCCTCCAAGTAAAGGTAAATCACTTATTGAGCATATAAATAAGTAAAAACTTCCTCAGTTTTGAAACAAACTGCAGAAGGCGAGCGGCGCCATGTCGACCTGCGTCGAGAGACTCGGCCGGCAGCAATAAAGCTCAAAGCGAGGCGAGCCGACTGCTGATTAGGCCTGCAGGCTTCCAGAGGAGCACACCTGACCAGGGAGCAATGTTGAGTTGAGATCAGACAAACACAAGTTCCTGCATTCATACCATAGTGTCCCTGCGAGGCTGTAGGGGGCCGAGTCAACCGGGACTGCAGATCCAAACGGGGATGCGAGCGCGCACAGTACGTACACATACACACACTGAGCAGCCCCAAACTTTGTTCGGGGAAAGAACAAAAGAAGAAAAAACGTTCAGAAATACCCCCCCAATGAAGGGGAATAATTCATTTGCAGAGACAGATAATGTCGTTGTTCATCTGTTTAGCGCCAAGACCCAACACGCTGCGGCTTGTAAATAGACGTCACAAGAATAGTAATGAATGTGAGGACTAAAACATGCATGCAAACCCACAGATTTGTGTTGCAAAATGCCATCGTTTGAAAGAGAGAGAGAGGGGGGAGAGAGAGAGAGAGAGAGAAAGGGAACTTCAAAGCATTATTAAGAGACTCCGTTTGCACTGACCTTGTATAAGCGCCTGGCCTTTCTGGAATGATCCAGTGAACGCCAGCTGGTAGTGTTTGACCTGAAAGCCTGGGGAACAGCCCTCGTGGCCTCCATCCTCTTGGCCACCCACACGGGCAACCTGAAACACACAGAGCAGAAGCCGGGTCAAATCGATGCGCATGAACACACGCGCGTTCCGCGCAGAGACACCTGACAGCGCCGGCAGGGAGGCTGGATCTTCTCCGTCAATAGCATTTCTTCTACATTTTTAATTCCGGTTGTACACAAAGAATTGGCACACGGCTGCAGTAGATGTATATGTCCTGGAACGTGTGGTGGAAATTTGTGGATTTAGCCCTTGTGAGAAATCAAAAGTATCTTGAGCTTGCTTTGAGATTAAGTATTTATTACTAATAGAAAACGATAAAGAATACAGAAATCATCAACACAGTCCAGTACAGACAGGAGTCAAATGACTACAATTCAGCTGAAAAGGGGGAGATTGTTCCTTCCCCCCCAGGAGCAGGAAGATCTGACCAAGTTTCTGGGGGAGCACAGGAGCTTTTATACGTCTCTGAGAGGTTCGAGGAAGAGGAAAACAGAAGACCCCCAACAAAAGGAAGATTAGTTGTAAAACAGATGTCGTTGGGAGACACTCATGTCCCTCCCTTAATGGGACCTAGTGAATCATATTTGACAGACTAAGTGGACGGAAGAGAAGAAGACCAGGATACGGGTCAGTCCAGGCACCTATCTTCCAAACATGATGCCCTCGTGGACTTGGTCAGGTCACGAGTTTCCCAAGAAAGGTCACACACCGAGTTCCTGAGACACTCACATTATGCAGCTCAACAAATTCTCCTCCGACAGAACACACACAAATCCTTCTATTTGTAATGTTGTTTATGAAATAGCAATAGAGATATTTTTAATTTTTTCAGGGATTCTTCGTCGATTTCAATACTATTTTTTTAACCATCAAAGCGGAAAAAAAATTACACTCGGGTATTAAAAGCCAATGTTGTTGACTGGATCAAGATTAAGGCTAAAAAAACAACAACTATGACTTGATACAGGTGAGATTTCTATTCATGAGATGTGTTGTAATAGTTAACACTGTCCTGCTCATCCTCGTGTCTCTAGACAATCCTCAGCTATCAGAAGTGCTTTGATGAGGAAAAAGGTGGATGCTGCTGTCTGTCACAGACAGATATAACACACTTGCATATTGGCACACATTTGCATATTACCCGAATGAAGGAGTCACATTATCGTTCACAGAAAAAATAAATGACCTCTTTGATGAGTCTCACCAAGACCAATATCGGACTAATCCATTACACTCACAACCAAATGTTTCTCTTCATAACGCACCAGAACTGCGCAAGAATCACTCAAAGCCGCCATCTTCATCAATAAGCTCTTTCAGTACCAGACAAAGGACACAGAAGGGAGACTTTACTGAGGCTTATTCATGTCACTTCTCTATTATACAGAGACAAATTGTCATTTCGCAAATATCCCTAAGGTACATATTTAAAAGCAGGTCTACTACTAAATAACAATGGTTTACAGCTATTCCACCACATTTTATTAGGATCTAAAAAAAAAAAACCTGGAACATTTTTCACAGTTAATGAGAATAACAACAGACTGAATTATTGCATTGAGTGTGGAGTGTCAGTTATATGACACTTGTAACATGTAAGTTACAAGGCATTCATGCAGAAGCGCTCGGGCCGTCTATAGAGATCTGTCTGCGTAGTGAACAAGCTTTGGCAGACGTTCTGCCACGGAGGTTATTACATGTAATGTCCCTGCACCCCGCGGGACTCGGTGTGTTTTTTTTTCCTGCAGGTGTCACACGAGGCTCACAAGGCCTCCTGAGGGGCCGCGATGCTTGCTGGTGCATGACCTCAGGCAAGTTGACTAAAGGGCCCGAGGCGACGTGTGACAAACATGCAAATACATAAATAAGCAGGCGTCAACAACATCCGCTTTAATGCCCAACAAACGCGTAACGTAATATCACAAAGAGACGTTTTGTGTGGACTTTTGTTTACAGAGGACGGAGATCCATGTCAGTGCTTTCTTCAAGCTTTTATGTAGGCAAACAGGGCATGCTTCAGTTTGACTTATCGGTGGTAAATTAATCATGTCATTTTGAGTTTGTCTTTCACGGGGCAATAGCTGTAAAAAGAAAAGGGGCCCTTTGTAGAAAATTTTGCATTTTGAGTTAACCGGGATATTATGTAGTATTTTTCTAATAACGAACGTGAGCTGAAATGAGAAGTTTAAATTACGCACGTGTAGGTTCTGAACTCTGAAATAAACTTGTTAGCAGACGGTTGATTATTTGCACATCCTTTAGTTACATTGCAACATTAGCATTCATTATATTTTGTGTTTCTGGCCACGTGGTGGATTTAAATCTAAATTTTCATTCTCCTGCTGGCTCGGTTTTTGGTTTCTAATAAGAGGATGAATGAAGCACAAACCTCACAAACCTACAAATGGATTGAGGAACGACTGGTGCAACACAGTTCCATTGTAGGAACTAAAAATTATGCAAGTCACACCAAACGTACTAAAAGCCTTGAGCTGCTCCTCGTTCATCACTGTGGTTTCTGCAGTTTATTCCTCCTCCTGTGTGGCTCGAGTCTTGTATGCAGGAATTGCAACAACAATAGCTTGTCTCTTAAAATTATACACTTCGTATCACAGTGACGTGTGTTGACTCATCTCATCCTCTGCAGTTGATTTAGTGGCCTTTATTTTGTGATGATCGGTTTCCTGACTATACTGATCAAAATGTGTATAATGAATTGAAAATATTGTGGCCTAACTTCCCCATCAGACAGCTGAAGAGAAGGGTTCTGAATCTTTACATTGAAATACAGAAAGTGAGCATCGGGACTGACAGTTGCAGATGCACACAAAAACATAAAAACAAAAATACAAATATGATTTATGTAGGACACAATTTCCAGCATTTTGATAGATTTGTGTGAGTTTCAGCGTCAGTATCTTGTCTCTGTAAAGGCGTCGTTGTTCTGCTGTGATTGGCTTGGTGCGACTTAACAGAGCAGAGCTCTATATATCTATAGATATATAGGGATTACTTAAGTCGGGTCTTGCGGAAACAGAGAGCCTCAGTTGCACAAAAACAATATTTCCAGCAGGACCAATTATCACGCTCGAGCAATGGTGGACCTGCAGAAAATGTAATTGTGTGCCAGCTTAATGAGATGATCGACACCGAGCCAAAAAGCTAAATAAGTAATTTAAAAAGCTAAAAAGTATTTAGCGGGACGCGGGGGGCAAAGTGCGAGCGGGTGAGTGAGGCAAACTGCAAATAGGCCGGTAGTGCCAAGGATAAGTGTCAGAGAGCGCGTTCATTTCAATCCCAACCAATAAGCACTTACACCTGGAATCCTATTTCCACTCGATTACTCGGCCAATGTTACTGTTACAGGAAGTAACCACTTTTTTCATTTGAAAAGACTTAAACCTGAATAATATTCTAAATGAATAGTATAGCACCTGTGACCTTACTGACACATACAAGTGATTGCTTTCCCTTTCACATCCTATTTGCTATTCAACACTACTTCAGGCTGCGGTCAACACTGCCTGACTCACCTAACCATTGATCCATAACCTCTATTACTATTTCAATGCTTTATTTACTACTTTTTATATCTAATCCAACTGTTTATTCATAACCTAACCTATGTCAACCATTAATACATTCCTTATAGCTCACTCAATGTGTACATTCCCACAATGACAGTACAGCAAGAAAAAGACATTGGGGGCTGCTTTCAGATCAGTTTCAGGGGGAGAAATAAATACAGCTTTGTATTGACAGCCACTTGGGGTGCAGGTCTTTAGGTTTATGTTAGCTTTCTAAGTGCACCCGAGAAATACTCAATCAGGAGAAAAGATCCATACACATTAGCTCTAGCATTTAGATAATGACGTTCCCTCTGCAAGGTCCACTCCAAGGAGCAGTAAACACGTGAAAAGTGCAAGAAAGTAACTTACCAAGATATTAAAAATGTGTTGATGATTGGAAACAATATAGACTGCTACGCCATTGGACTGAGTCAGAGCGTCCGACGACCAGCGGGCAGCGAGCCGATGATATCGGTTAACTCATATTCATCTGGGAGGAGCAGCATCGCCTGATAGCTCGACAACCGCTGCAGTTCAAGTGTGAAGGACGAGTCAGGTGATTAAAGGCAATGACTTGGCAGCGCACACAGTGAATGTCACCTCTGGATGAAATCAATACTGCCTCAAGAATCCACTGTGCGTCTGATATATAAAGATGGAGAAGGGCCACGACGACTGATATTTGCTTAAGAGAGTGAAAGGACGAGATTCTGCACACACACACAGGAACGAAAATCTTCAGGCAACAGCGGAACTTTCTGGTTTCCGTTTGTGGAACGCGGAGTATTGACTAATCGAATGCTGCTGAGCATTCAGTATGAAGGGCAAAAAATGCTATCTTGGAACCCAGAGTGTTTAGCCTGACGATGATTTGTTTTTTTTATTGGTTTTAAACATAGCTCGTGAAGTGCATACCTCAACTCTCATCTCCCGTTTTGCATCAAAGGTTCTCGATCTGTCTCTAAACAAGGAGCAACACACAAAAGGGTAACTACACCGGAACCCCCAGATGTACAGGCCCTTACATCCACCTCATCCAACCAACCGCCGATGGGTTCCCAGATTGAAGGGAGAGATTGTGGGAGGCTGTGATTCTGTGATGTGTGATTCCCAGTACGTTCAGTCCGTGTATGTGTGAGTGGACAAGATCAGACATTGGGAAAGAGAGGAAAGGGGTATTGAGGAAGGCATGGGAGAGAAGAAATAAAACATTTCTGTCCGTGTCTTTCATGCATTCTAATGTCTTTATTATTTAGAATTTATATCGGTACATTATTTTTTTATTGAGCTGCACACTGCGGCTGCCTTAACAACCCAGACATTGGACAGTGCATCTTTTGGGGATTTATTCTGACAATTTGTTTCCATTTTGTTTGGATTCAACCTGCAGCTGTCTCTTGTGTCCAATTACTACTGGTTAAAATGGTAAATACAATGGTATTTAAACCAAATTATGTTTAA